CCCCACCCAAGGCCTACACTGGGACAGATGACAGTGAAGGGGACACATCTAGAGTTTCTCCTTCACCAACCTCCCCAGCCCCCTAACCCAAAGTGAGATGCTCAAATTACAAAGGCTTGGGGGCTCCCTACAGGGGCCTGGACCCTGGGGTTGACTGGCTGACCAGCTCCTTGACCTCTCTCTGCCCTACAATAGAAACAAACAACCCTATTAGAGCATCACCTGGAAGTGTTTGTGAAAGGGCAGGGGTGGGGGAGGCAGTTGACAGGGCTGGGGTTCTGCCTTCGCAAGGCCCCAAGTTTGATTCCTGGTACTGCCTCTCTCCCTCCCCTCCCCCATATAGTAGGGTGCCGTGCCAAAGGACCCCAGCACAGCCGAATCCCAGCTGCAGCACATGAGCAGGGCCATTGCATCTCACCTTGCTCTGCAGAGCCTCTGAGCCCTGCTGGGGGGCCCTCCCCTCTCCCCAAATGGTGTTGTCCATGAAAGGACGCATGGTGAGAAAGGAGCCGTCAGCCACTGTTGGTGGGAATGTCATCTGGTTTAATGTCTATGGAAAGTAAAATGGAGACTCAAAAACTAGGACTGGAACTCCCATATGGCCCAGCGATACCACTTCTTGGCTTCTATTCTCCCAAACACAAAAACAATAATTCTAAAGGATGTACGCACACCAACACTCATTGCTGCACTTAGTACAACAGCCAAAACATGGAAACAACCCAAATGACAACGTATGGGGGCATGGGATCCAGAAGTTGAGGTCTATATCCATAGTGGAAGACTCTGCAGCTCCAAGAACGAACAAAACCATGTACTTGGCAGTAACATGGATGGGACTAGAGCAGGTCGAGTGAAGTCAGCTAGAAGGAAAGAGATAGATCCAGAAGCCCAGCCCGGCTGGGGTAGGGTGACGGATGGGGCAGGACCACCCCTCAGTGGTCAGGATCTCACTTATATGTGGGACTTAAAGACACACAGCAAGGCAGCAGCAGAGGGTCAAAGGCAAGACAGGGGGAGAACTGCTCCACAGCAGAGTTGGTGGGAAGGGCTCTAAGGGAGGGGGCCTTGGGGTCCATGGGGGGAGGGAGGTGGGTACACGGGTGCAGGAATTATGTGCACAAAAAAAACATCATTAAAAGTATTATAAATCACAAAATCTCAATTGAAAACAAAGAAGTGCTGTCCGCCCACCCCTCAGCGGTCAGAATCAGTGTCTGTTAGCAGCTATTTCAGAGTGGGGTGCGTCTGAGTATCCCCTTCCCTCTGGAAATGTCAGAGCAGCAGGCCAGTGGCCTACAATCGACTCTTGAATTGGGGGTCCTCAGCTTGGGAGGGAGATGTAGTTCTGCCGTGCAAGGCCAGTCAGCGGGGAACGAAAGACACCAGCACCCAGGACAGGCACCAGCACCCAAGACAGACACCAGCACCCACAGCACCCAGGACAGGCACCAGCACCCAGGACCCTCTGAGGAAGATGCTGAAAAGCTGAGGAAATGTTGACACCTCCCCTCCTATGGTGGTCAGGAATCACCAAACAACCCCGCTCAAGATGCACACATCTCATCCCACAGTTTCCAGGTGCTGCCCTCAGGGTGTATTGTGGCAGGAGAGTGGGCACCTCTGGGGGTATTTGGGGGCTACTCTTGGCTCAGAGCTTGGGAGTTTGCTCCCAGGGAGGCTCAGGGGACCAGGAAGTAATGGGAATGCGATTATGCCTCCTGCATGCAGAGCACGCACTGCTGCCCATGGCACCATATCCCCAGGCCAGGCCAGTGCTGGACTTGGCTTCTAACCGGAGCCCACACTCATCTCTGAGCAGCCTTGACCCACCCTGGAGTGGCAGAGCAAATCTGCAGAGAACTGAGTCTGGAGGACAAGTCCAGGTCTGCTCCACAGAGTGGCCTTGGGCTCAGGACTGTCAGAACAGGAGAAAACTACAACCTGAGGACTGAGACCCTCCACCCCCACCAGAAACAACTCCACACACGAGAGGCCAAGGGCCACATCACAGTACATGGTCTGGACCCTGCCTGTGTTCCCATCTCATGATGCAACAGCTGTCACCATTAGATACCCCAGAAAAGACCGTGGACCCAGGGCAAGACACAGAAAACCGGGAAGGCCGTGTCAGAGGAGTGCCTGGAAGCCGGAAGCCCAGCCTGGCTGGGGTAGGGTGGTGGATGGGGCAGGACCATGCAGTAAGCTGCACCAGGGGCTGGGTGGGCTGCAGAGTTTCCACCGGAAGGAAGCCAGGGGTAGCCGACATGTGGGGCCTATGCAGACAGGACCTCCAGGACCACCTGTCCGTCCTCTGTCCCAGGAGGGATAAAGCACCTGACCTTCGTGTTGAGTTGCCAGAGCCCAGAGAACATGGGCTAGGCCCCTGCTCGGAGTGTGCTTATGAGCAGGGAAAGTTGGGGTTACAATAGGCACATGGACTGTTCCCACTGAACTTGGACACAGCAACTCTGGTGTGGGTCACCGGGCAGGGAACGGTTTTGCTTCCTTGCAGAGGCCAAGGTGAGGAAGTACTCAAAACAGGAACATCAAGAACTCGTGTAGGACCCAGGACAGGCCCCCCCCCACACACACACACCCCTCCACCAAGAATATAGAGCCACACACGGGCAGAGATCTCAGCATCCTTGGCCCAGTGCAGCACTGTCCAGCAGGCAGGAGGCGTCCAGCACCCGAGGGCCCGGTGGCCAGGGCATGGACAGAGACCGGTCCACATGTGTTTGGAATACTCCTTGGCCCCCAGGTGAAGGCTCACCTTCTGCTACGACGTGGAGGCAGCAACACGGGGTGAGACTAGCCCGAGGGAGAAGGGCCCCCGGTGGGGAGCTCACCCTGCTGTGGGATGGTGGGAAAGGAAGCAGAGCAACAGGCAACAGTGGTGAAAACAAGCTCTTAGACTGGCACAGGGCTGAGGGACTTGGGCTGCGGGCAGGGGGCCAGGGGGTGCAGGAGGGCGGGGGCAGACAAGATTGACTCTACCACAAACATAAAACAAAACTGGGCAGAGCAGAGTGCCAGTTTGGGATGCAGAGGGCTGGGGTGGCCCGGGAGCACCACCAGGAGTGACCCTGAGCACCAGGTCTGAAGAAGCCCTGAGCACCATCAGGCGTGGCCCCCAAAGATGAAATAATAAAGGAAAAGGAAAATAAACAAGGTTGGAGGTGAGAGAGATGTGGAAAGCAGCCTCCTCTCCCCAACACGAGTTACTGGAAGGTGCAGGTGGGGGCAGGTAGCACCCTGCTACTGGGCTCTGCACCCTTTCATTCACCCTCTGCCCGGCACACTGGGGCCCCAGCCCCTCTCTTCCTTGCCAGCAGAGAATTAAGAGTCTGGTGAGCACACTGGATAAACTACGGTACATCCACACAATGGAATACTATGCAGCTGTTAGGAAAAAACGAAGTCATGAAATCTGTTTATAGATGGACGGATTTAGAGAGTATCAGAGTATTTAGAGTCAGAAGAGGGACAGACATAGGATGCTTGCAATCGTTTATGGGATATAAACACACGGTATGAGATCATCATCCATGAACAAAAGAAACGAGGCCCACGGCTGGAAGCTTATCACAAGGTGGGGGAAAGGGGGAGAGGGCAGCTAGGATAGAGAAGAGACCACTACCACAATGACAGTTGGAAATGACGACTCCGGATGAGAAATGATGCTAAAAGTAGGTAAAGGGATCTACATGACAACCTTACAGAATCTGTACCGCAAACCATGATGACCAAAAGGGAGCGGGGGGGGGGGGGAGAGAGAGAGAGAGAGAGAGAGAGAGAGAGAGAGAGAGAGAGAGAGAGAAGGAAGGTGTCTGCCGTTGAGGCAGGCTGGGGTGGGGGAGGGAAGGAGGGTAACGAGGGACAGTGGTGGTGGGAGTGTACGCTGCTGAAGGGATGGGTGTTGGAAACTGCATGACTGAAACCCCTTTCTAACTCGTTGTCTCACGGTGATTTAATAAAATAATAATTAGAAAGTTAAATTTTCTTTCTTCCTATCTTGCTATCGAGCGATAGCACAGCGGTAGGGCGTTCGCCGTGCACGCAGCCAACATGGCCGACCCGAGTTCGATTCCTCCGCCCCTCTCGGAGAGCCCGGCAAGCTACCGAGAGTATTCGATATGCCAGACACAGTAACAACAAAGTCTCCAATGGAGACGTTACTGGGCCAGCTCGAGCAAATCGATGAACAACGGGAGGACCGTGACCGTGATAATTAGAAAGTCCAGCGAGCCTGGTGCCTCCTCCGAGTTCTCTTCTCCAAAGGACGTTCATTCAGAAACGAGGCACTCCCTCCTTCGAAAAGATTTATTTTTTCGTTAGAAAATAAAAGTCATCTCCACATATCTGCACGGAAGCTCCAGGGACCGTGGCCTCGGCAAGCAGGAACCAAGGCGGGGAGGCCCCGGCTGGCCCCTGCCGCTCGGACGGTACAAAGGCACGCCTGTCTCCACACCAACCAACTTTATTCAGAAACAACGCTCAGAACTCTGAACTCCCCGGGCCCCAACTCTCTCCTGCCCGCCCTCACCAACCCGCCCCTTCCAAAAAAAAACAAAAAGCAACAACCCCAAACATTAAATTCTCTCTTTAAAACTACAGAAATAAGTGCTGAGTCAGCTGGGAACGGGAAGGGGCAGGTTGCGGGTGTGCTGTGGGCTACCCCTGCTCCGCCCCCCCTGCTTCTGCTTCAAGGACCAGTGCCCGGGGGCTCACAGGGAAACAGCTCGGGAGACCCCCGCCCCATGCTCCACCCCCAACGCTCAACGGAGGGCTTTGCTTTGTGGGCAGTCTCAGTCCCAGCTGTGTCCCCAGTTCCAAGGCACTACACCCCTTAATCCAAGGGATCGTGTGGCAAAAGCAGAGAGAGGCCGGAGGCAGGGCCCTCCACACGGGCGGTGGTCAGAGGCCGGGGAGGGGGTGCTGGGGAATCTGTCCCCACCCCCCACCAGTCTGGAGGCTTCTCTCTCCCTCTTTCTCGCCGCTGTGTCCCCCGTCCCTCCGCCAAAGCTTCTCTTTAGCTGGACGGTGGGGGGCTCCGCAGACAGGGCTGTGGGCAGCTCCGGGGGCTGGCCGGGGGGCTCCACTGCCTCCAGGGGCTCTGTGCAGGCCTGGGGCTCCGGAGGGTCGCAGGGCTCCTCCTGGCCCGGGCAGGGCTCTGGGGACGCCTGGGTCTGGCTGTTCATCTTCTCTTCCGCTTCGATCTCCTCCGAGGTGGGGATGGAGTTCTTCTTGGGGCGGCCTTTGGGTTTGGTGGGCGCTTCCTGTCCACCTTTGAGGACCTACGAGGGAAGAACAAGGGTGATGAGGCCTAGGAATGGACCCCTCCTTCCACGTTCACAGCCCAGGTGCTCCACCCGCCTTCCCAACACTCTGGCCAAAAGCATCCTGGAGCCCTCCTCCTTCCCCGCTGCACCTTTAAAGGCGCACGGGCCTGTGCAACCCCACAGTGAAGAAGCAGAGGCACCTCGGGCCTGCTCACAGGGGCCCCGCTCCACTGCAAGGAGAAACAGCCCACGGACAGTGTACGTGGGCCCACGCCACTGGTCTGGCATTCAGTAAAATGATCAGAAACACAAGGAAACTCCAACTTCAACTCCAAGAAATAAAGGAAAAGAGAGTCCCGTGAGATATGCTGACCAGGGTTCGACTGACCCCTGGGCTCCATCCCTGGGGCCAAATGCTCCACCGGCACCCCAGGGAATGGAGATGCAGATGAGAACAGGCAAGGAATAGTACCCCAATATCATCAGCCCATCCGCAAAGGATCGTCAGAAAAGAAACATGTGCGTTCATATGTCTGTGTATGTAAACACACACGTGTGTGTGTGGGGGGGGGGGGGGGAGGGTGTTGCAAACGAATGGTGCAAAAGACTGGGATAGTGGCTGTCCAGCACTGCATGGTCCCCTAAGCCCCACTCAAGTGACCCCCCCAAGCACAGACCAAGACGAGACTCTGGGCTGGGTGTGGTCTCAGACCCGAGTGTGTGCGTCTCTCTGCGCGCACAAGATACCCCAAAGCAAGTGTGTAATGTGTGTGTGCACAGGCGTGGGTCTGCGATAAGTGTCCACCCTCCCTCCCTGGCTGTCAGTCCCCATGGTGGAGGAGGCGAGTTCCCTTTCTGGGCAGGTCAAGGGGATGTGGTAGCCCTCAGGCCTCAGGGTGCTGGGTGACCTGGGCCACCCAGGTTGCACTGCTCCTGGGCTTCTAGGTCCGTCCCGAGGGGTGCTGGGGGGGCTCTGGGGCTGTGCCGCATGACACGTGGGGGAGATGGGATGCCGGGAACCAACAAGGCACCTTCACCCCTGCGCCGTCTCCAGTCACTGCGTGGACCTTTGGAGAAGTGACCCCCCCAAGGCCGCTACCCTGGTCCCACCTGCCGCAGGGCCTGGCGTCTCTGCGCTTCCCAGCAGTGCTTGGGATTCTGTCTCCTGGTGAAAGCCCTGCTTGGGGTTTCCGTCTGCCTATCCCCCGAAGCCTGTGGGGTTCAGCCTCTCTGCCTGGGCCAGGATCTGCCTGAACAACTTTCCCCGGAGACCTGTGTCCAGACCCTTCGCCCACTCTTTTCTGTCACCTCTTCATTAGGCAGGAGCTCTTGTCTGGGGGGACGCACACCCAGCAGCGCCTGCCCCTGGCGGTGCTGGGGTGTGGGTGGGGGTCTCTAGGCAGTACTGGGGGACGGAACCAGGGAACTCGCATGCCAAGCCTGTGCTCTGGTCCCTAAGCTCTCGCCTGGCCCTCAGAGCAATGATGCCCGCCCAGGTTCTAGGTCACGGTCCTTTTGCGGAGCCGAGATGGGTCACGCGATCTCCCGGCCTCGGGTGTCCACTCCGGTTTCCCACAGCACGAGGCTTCACTTCCGTCCAATCTTAACTTAGTTTTCATTTTAATGATGATGCTTTGGGGGCCCCCATCTGAGAGAGCCTGCCCAGGGCAGGGGCATGAATTCGGACTCTCTCGTGTTCTTCAGAGAAGCAGTTTTGCCCTGCAGGAAGTCAAAACGCTCCTGTTTCCAGTGTCAGCTTTTCTATGTCCTGACCCCACCCCACCCTCCTGGGTGTTACTCACGGTCTTGCAATGACACACACACCTGGCTGGGGTGCTCAGGGGGCGGCACAGCAGGCCGACATCCTAGTCCACTCACCACGGTGCTCCCTGAATTTTAACCGATTTTGGTGCTGGCACGTCTGTTCACCTGGGGCCACACTTCCCGGCCATGGGACATAGGGACATACACGGTTTTTCACGCTGCACTTCCTTTTTGTGGAGCTTACACCCACCCTGGCTGTGGTGCAGCCAGAAATGACCCTTGGTAAAGGGGAATTACAGAGAGCAGAACCCCGGGAGAGTGTTCAGCTCATGTGGGGCACCCGGGATTTCAACCTGTGACCTGAGATATGAACTTGTAAACCAGTGCTCCAAGCTACCAGTCCATTCCTCTGGGCTAGCTTTTGCATTGAGATCCATGACTGGTTTTGATCTCTGTCTGTCTCTCTCTCTCTCTCTCTCTCTCTCTCTCTCTCTCTCTCTCTCTCGCCTTAGGGAGGAAGCAAACCCTAAGTTTTCAACAAACACCTCCTCCGAGCTGAGGACGGCTCAGCCGCTACCACGGGCCGCATGGGGACTCTTAACAAGGCACGGGCGCTGACAGAACCCACCGGGGGCGAGGAGGCACCACGGGGGTCCTGCTCCTTCCCTATCGTCGGTATCTGATCCTGTTGGCTGCTGAAAGCACGCAGGGGCACCCCAGGGAGACACACGTTGAAAGCGGCCCCCCCGCTAGGTTAGGCGGGAGAAGGGGGGGAGACCACGCCAGGCGCCCCTGCGGAGTGATCAATCGCTTGCAGAGGGCAGGTCTCAGGAAGCCACAACTGGCAAAGGAAAGTCTGGGGCCAGCAATTAGCGAGCACCACCCACACGGCCGTGCCGGGCTCTTTCCTACAGCACAGAGACAGAGGAAAAATAACCCCAACAATCAGACCATTTTCTAAGTGGAATAAAACATTCCAGGGCGAGCGGTAATTAGGGGATAACTAGCCGCCCGCTGCCCTGGGCACCCGCTGCTGGCTCCCTGCCCCCAGCGCACCTGAGTGACGTGGCGGCCACCCCCGCGGCCGCCCCCAGCTGCGCAGGCTCACGCAACCCAGTGACCTTCTCCCGGGGCCCCCAGAGTCAGCACAGTCCCCGGGGCCCGGGGAGGCCCCAAACCCTGGTGCACCCGAGGCCACATGGCAGCCCCCTCTGAGCGCCATGTCTGCTCACGACTGCCCCCACCCAGCTCCAAAATCAGAGGCCCCAGAGTCCCCTCTGCTGGGGTTCAAGGCGCAGTTTTGGCTCGCTCCTTGGGGCGCACAGGGAGGGGACGGGCAGTTGGGCCGCAAACCGTCGGGGAGGACTCGTCTACTAGGCCGGATTCTTCCTCGAACTCACAAGAGGGACTGGGTCAGAGGCTTAACCAAGGGCAGAGGCGGAGCGCAGAGTCCCAGCCCCGAGCCAGGCAACCCTAATCCCCCCACCAGGATTTCGCTGCTCAGGGGGCCCCAGGGAGACTCCGAATAAGCCGCTGTTGTTTCAGGCCTTGAGGGGTCCTTCTGACCCCTCAGCACCCCTCAGTCGGACGTTCCCTCTGCTCAGAATCCACCCGAGTCTCTGTCAGAGCGAGAGTCGGGAGAGACAGTCACTTTTTGATGTCTGGAGGCCACTCCCAGTCCGGTGAGGGTCACAGGTTACTCTTGACTCTTCGCGTAGGAATCGCTCCTGGGGGTACTCGGGGACGCTAGGGGGTGCCTGGGATCGAACCCAGGTCTGCCGCGTGCAAGGCAAGTACCCTGCCCGCTGTCCCATCGCTGTAGCAACTGTCTCCCCCAACCCACCATAAGTTGGGGCTCTGTAGCATGAGAGGCGACTTTCCCCGCCTGCGGGGAGGGGAGCCACACCGGGAGAAGAAAGACGACAGGCGCCCAGTGCCGCCTGCAGCCAGGGACAGGCTCAGAGGCCGACTGGACTCAGCCTCACCTTCTTGACTCCCAGAGTTGGGATTTTCCGGACACAAGGATTCTTGCGGCCAGGTCATGGTCACGGGCCTCCCCCTTGTTCATCGATTTGCTCGAGCGGGCCCAGTAACATCTCCAATGTGAGACTTGTTGTTACTGTGTTTGGCATATCGAATACGTCACAGAGAGCTTGCCAGGCTTTGCCGTGTGGGCGAGATACTCTCGGTAGCTTGCCGGGCTCTCCGAGAGGGGCGGAGGAATTGAACCCAGGTTGGTTGGGTCGGCAGCGTGCAAGGCTGCAGCCTACCACTGTGTAAATGCGAATAAAAGAACCAACATGAGGGGCTGGGGAGTAGTGAGCACCTTGAACATGGCTGACCCGGGCTGGACACCCGGCACCCCATATGGTCCTCTGATGTCCGCCAGGAGGGATCCCTGAGCTCAGAGCCAGGAGTCAGCCTTGAGCACTGCCGGATGTAGCTCCCAAACCAAACCAAACCAAAAAGGAAAAAAAAAAAAAACCCAACAAAAGAACAAGAGCGGAGGTGGGAGGGGGCAGCCAATGTTGCCCGGCTGTGTGTGATGGTGCATTTGCTGCTCTGAGGTTTCGGGTGGGCACGCGGGTTCCTGCACTGCCCCCACCCCCTTCCACCACCAGGTCTTACTGCTGAGGAAACAGGCGTGCGGTGTGAAGTGACCCCAAGGTGGTCCTGTGGACCTGCCCGGGCCGGCGTCCCTGAGACTTGCAGCAGGGGTGACAGTTCCAGGACAGGGCCTGTGTCCACCCCTCCCCCTTTCCTCCCACCATAAATTGTGCCTCTGGGACCCCCCGACCCTCTCCCCCCACACCCAAGAACAGATGAGTATTTGAGGAGCTGGAGAAGGCCAGTGGCTCGTGAGACGCTGGTCATCGTGGGTGTCCGCGAAGGCCACGCAGGTCTGGGTTGGCGGGTGAGCGCCTGCCCACCCGCTACAGGGCACAGGCCGGCCGGTAGGAACTAGTCGGAGATGTTATCTCACGCCTGGCAGAGACAGCCTTGGCGGCGTGTGAATAGCTCTGAGATCGAGTGCTAATCTTTTTCCAGTTCCAATTAGGTTACTAGCCTTGAGACATCTTTATTACCCAATTACCCTTTTCTTTTTCCTCCCCATTCCCTGCAGAGAGCACCTGGGAGCGGGTGACTCCACCGGCACCAGCTCTGAGGCAACGGGGAGCTCGTCCGCTCGGGGGAAGCCGGACGCTCAGTGGCACCACGTGGCACCACCGTGAGCTCCGGGTCCTTTGCAGGAACTTGAAAAAGCCCCCTTTGACTTCCGCCCCTTCCTTCTGCCTGGGCTCCTTTCCCCGATCCTCGCCCCTTGGCATGCTTCTATCTGCCCATTACAACTGCCATGACATGACACTTCTTCCAGGAAGCCCTCCCTGACTGACACCGTCCCTGCACCCTTGGCATTCTTCCACCGTTCCTCCGCAGACTCATCCAGGTCCTCCCCCACCTGACCTTTACTAAATTTTAGCTCAGATGTGGAGGGCGGGGTGGGGGGCGGATCTGGTCTTACCTTAACATCCCCTTTCACTGCCTAGTAAAGGGCTCTGTGAGCTGAGCTTCCGTTTCCTAAAGGGATTCAACTGGGGGCAGTGGGGGTGTCCCCCAGGGTTTGATGTGTGAAGTGACTCTGATCAGCGCCCCCAGAGCCTCCACCCGCCGGGTGCCAGCAGCTCCAGAGCTGGTGAAAAACAAGTGACATCAGAGGCCGGGGTGCTGGCGGTCCCACGGCCCTGGGCGGGCTGGCGCAGTGACAGGCCGTCAGTGCGTGAATCATCTGAGTCAGGAGAGAGATGGCTGATAACCGACACAGACAATGGCCCTGCCACTCGGAGACGGTGATGCCGATGATGGATGAGGAAGGAGGTGGGTGTGCGGTGAAGGGACTTGCCCCAAATGGGCCCGGGAGGAGCGAGCCTGTCAGCACAGCCCAGCACAGCCCACTCCCAGATCTGACTCCGGCGGCCACACAGTCCCCCGACAGGCACCTTCTGCCCCAGGATGCAGGGGCGTCGTACCTGCCGGCACCTCTGTTCTGGGCTTTGGGGACCCAGCGGTGTGCTCCCAGCCTTCTGCATACTCAGTGCGTTGGCCTCCCCCCGGCCCCCACACGTGTCTGGAAGTGACCACGGACTTGACTGAATTCCTTTTGTTTGGGGGTCACACCCCACTGTGCTCAGGGCTCACTCCTGGCAGTGCTCAGGAAACCAGCTGTGGTGTCGGGCATGAAGCCTGGGCTGGCTGCATGCAGGGCACGCAAATCGTGTTTGTGTGAGAGCATGAGCGTGCCTGTGTGTGTGTGTGTGTGTGTGTGTGTGTGTGTGTGTGTGTGTGTGTGGCACCCTCCCCGTTGCACTGTGCCTGCAGCCTGGTCTGAACTCTCCTTGCGTCCTGCCCCGTCTCCTTCTCCCTGCGACCCTCCTCCGTATGCTTCTCTTCTGGAGTTTTAGGGGTTCACCGATCCGTAAGGCTCATTCAGCACCCAGTGACCCTTGCAGCTTTCTGAAACTCAACCACCTAACAGGATCCTCAGTGCCGTTGGATGCTTGGATTTCATTATCAGCTACAGCCCGGGACAAGGTGCGCCTCACAGAGGCATGGAACGCACTCACTGCTTCATGTGTTGGGGCTCGCACCCGGCTTTGCCATCTAGCTCTGCGTGTGCCGGCAGAGACAAACCGCCTTCATCTCCAAACCTTCCCCGTCAGGGCCAGGGGTCCCCCAAGGAAACGAGAAGGTCTGCCCAGGAATTCCTTTCGAGGGACACAACAGATGCTGCCTGGCCGGCTTTTTCCACTCATGGTCATCGATCGGCACTTTCTTTCTTTCCTTTCTTGCTCCTTCCTCGATTTAGGAGCAAGAAATCGAGTTTTTAGGCGGGAAAAGTAACAATGGGCTAAAACCACAAGAGAGGGGAGGGAGCCAGGAGTGGCAGGCTAAGGGGTGGCCACCTGACCGTGGTGGACGGGGCTGGACCTTGGGGGTGGGCGAGGAGCAGGATGGGCCAGGGGCTTTTCACCTTTCTCTCTTGGGGGCTGGAGGGCTCCCAAGCTGTGCTCAAGGGGCCAGCGGGTGGGGCTGCTGTTGTGTTGATTCTCAGCCCAGTACAAGATTCAAGGATGCTCCCAGGCTCGGCTCTGGTGCCAGGGCTTATCCGGTCTGCATTGCCAGGGCTGAGACCAGGACCAAACTGGGCGAGCCCACAGACAGGGGCTTAACCCTCTATTGTGTCTGCACCCTGGTTCTGAACCTACTCACCCTCAGGTCTGTGGGGGAGTGGCCGGGGACAGGAAGCTGAGCAAACAGGAATTCCTGCAGTGCAAAACTGTGCGTCTGAGACGGGGATGGACATCTGAGTCAGTGGCAAATCAAATCATGTTCGTGTGAGTGTGTGAGCGTGCCTATGTGTGTGTGTACGTGTGCGTGAGTGTGTGTGCATGTACGAGTGTGTGTGTATGTGTCTGCGTGTATGAGTATGTATGTGTGTGCATGAGTGTGTAAGTGTGTACGTGAGTGCATGTGTGTACTTGCATGTGTATGTGTGCAAACACACTTGCCACGAGGACCAAGGATCGTGGCCCACAGCCATGAGGGCCGGCAGGACTGAGCCCAGTGCGTGATGGACACCAGCAAGGATGGACCTCATGCCCAGAGGTGTTATGTGGCTGCCAGGCCTCCCCAAACACGGTACTGTTATTCCTCTGGGTCCAAGGAAATCGCTTTTTTAGAAGGAAGGAAAAACATCAAATTGAGAAAATTATCAACTTATTTCTGCTCCCCTCCCCCGCCCCCCCACCCCCCCAAAAATCACATGAACTTGGTTCACTGAGTTTTGTGGGAAACAGAGACAACAGGTATAGTGATTTATGACCAGGTGGGTTCCCAGCTGGCCTGGTCCAGACAAGAAGAGAGGGAGCAGTGGGATCTGGGAGCACCGAGGAAGGTTATGGCAGAGTGTTGAACATGTTTAAAGCCATGGTTTCCAATGCCTGGGCCGAGGGCCTCTGCTAGGCTGAGGGCAGGAAAAGGCTGTGAAGACCGGACTCCCCCAGGGGCTAGTACTTTCCCGGACTTGGACAAATGCCCCTGGGGTGAAAATGCTGAAAGCCACTGGTCTAGAGCGTGGTCTCTTCTGGAAGGTGCTGACGGGGGGTTGGGGCCACTCTGGCAGTGCTGGGGAACCGTATGTGGTGATGGGGTCAGCAGTCTGCGAGACAAGCGCCTTCCTGCTCTCCTAGAGCTTCCTAGACTCTGGGTTTAAACCCTACAAGCGGTTGTGAAAAATCTGGCAACAATGAAGGAGTTCTGAATGGATCACGACCAAACGTGGACTCCCCGTGTCCACCCTATCAGCAGCCCAGGTGCTCTTGGCAGCCGCTGGGCCGTGCTTCTTGGGTGAAAAGCGGTCACAGATAGAAACTGGAGCAAGATCCCATTTCCCACCCTCGCAGCATCCCTCCTCTTCTCTGCAGCTTTGTAGAGCCTTGGGAACTTTGTGGCTTACAAACCCAGAAGTAAAATGCTCCACTGCTTAGCAGATTTGGGTTTAATAGTCCCCCCCCCTCCTTTTTTTTTCCTAAAAAGAAAGAAAGTTTAAGAAACCGAGTTCCTCGAGATGCTAATCTTAGGAAGCTCATTTGAAAAGCAGAGCTGCCGAGATTCATGACTTTGGTCACCTCCTCACCTGCATGGGGTGTGCGTGTGTGTGTGTGTGGGGGAGGGGGTGCTGTTCCCATGCGCACCGCCCAGCCCTGCAGGGATGGGGAGGAGCCCTGGGGTGCTGCTGCTTTGGGGAGCAGGAAAGGACACAAGACCACAGATAGACACACATGTGTCTGTATGAGCAACAACAACAACAAAATACGCTTTCTATTCTGGGCTCCTGGTGGGAGGGGCGAGGAAGTACTTTGAAAAGGCTGGTAGGTGGGCTCAGGGGGCAACGGGGCAGCTTAAGGGCCTTTTTTGTCTTTCTTTTTTTCTTTTTCCTTTTGGTTTACACCCAGTATAATTACAGTCACGGTCCTCCCGTTGTTCATCGATTTGCTCGAGTGGGCCCAGTAACGTCTCTATCATGAGATTTCTTGTTACTGTGTCTGGCATATCGAATACATCACGGGTAGCTTGCCAGGCTCTCCGAGAGGGGCGGGAGGAATCGAACTCGGGTCGGCCATGTTGGCTGCGTGCAAGGCAAACGCCCTACCGCTGTGCTATCGCTCCAGCCCACTACACCCAGTAATGCTCAGGCATCACTCCTGGCTCTGCACTCAGAAGCGGTGGGTGCTTAAGGCACCATAAGGGATGCCAGGGATCAAACTCGGGTCAGCTGCATAAAACACAAACGTCCTCCCCACCATACGAGCACCCAGTTGAGGGCCTTTTCATTTCTTTCTAAGGAAACTGGTGTGGGGGGCGTGGGGCGGGAGGCAGGAGAACGGGATCCTCTGGCTGGGAAATCCAGGTCAGGGGAAACTGTTCAAACTTCCAGCCACCATCTTCAGCGTCCCGGGGTCCCAACCAGCCAATGGCAGGCACAGGAAAAAACGCCATGCTTCCTGCTTACCATTTTCTTCCATTTCATCCTGCGGTTCTGGTACCACGTCCTTCACCTGCAGCTGAGTGAGGCCCAGGGACTGGGCCAAGTCCAACCTATAAGGCAATGAGACAAGGAGGAAGGTATCAATGAGGATGGTGAGTGTCCACTGCAGAGATGGGGTCCTGAGCACTGCAGACCAAAATATGGACTCCAGTTAAGCCCTTTCTGCACCCCTGAAGAGCCCGGTCCTCCTCCCAAGAATCTAATGAGGGGAAACCCAGGGTACTGAGCACCACGGGGTGCCCACACGGCACAGATAAGGATTCCAGGACTTCCCTTCAAATTCCTTTTCCTAGGGCCCAAGTGATAGTACAGCAGGGATGGTGCTTGCTCTGCACGGGGCTTTGATCCCAGACAGCCTACGTGGTCCCCAAGTGCTCCCTGAACCCCTCATGACCCCATTCTATCTGCATTCCTCCCTGCCGCTGCTGTTCTGGAAGTTTCTCTCCCCATTCCTCACTCCACCTTTGTACTTCCTTAACTTTGCGCAAGGCTGGCCTAAGTCTGCACCAGCCAAGCTTTCTACTGTTTGTTTCATATTATTTATTATTTAAATTAAATCATTGGAATAAAATGTTTTTTTTTATAGTGCAAAAGACATTTATTCACATACGCAATGATAAGGATACTAGGCAGTTAGAAAAGCAATCCAGCTCAGAATTCTTCTGCAGACTTCAAAACCGGCTGCAAAGACTTGAGTTTTCTTCAGATGTTAAGTCTCTTTTTTGGGAGAGGTTAGCAGGTTTTCAGGAGAGCCTCGCTACTAATGCCGAGCTTCTGCCTTCTGGCCTAACTCTACTCTGCTTCTGATACAAAAATTCTGACACAAAAAAGAGCCAGGAAATGATCCCTGAGCACAGAGCCAGGAGTGAGCCCTGAGCACGGAGACAGGAGTGAGCACTGAGCACAGAGCCAGGAGTAAGCCCTGAGCGTGGAGACAGGTGTGATCCCTGAGCACAGAGCCAGGAGTGAGCCCTGAGCATGGAGACAGGAATGATCCCTGAGCACAGACCCAGGATTGAGCCCTGAGCACGGAGACAGGGGTGAGCCCTGAGCACAGAGCCAGGAGTGAGCCCTGAGCACGGAGTCAGGAGTGATCCCTGAGCACAGAGCCAGGAGTGAGCCCTGAGCACGGAGACAGGAGTGATCCCTGAGCACAGAGCCAGGAGTGAGCCCTGAGCACGGAGTCAGGAGCGATCCCTGAGCACAGAGCCAAGAGGGAGCCCTGAGCAAAGACGGTGTGTGGATACCCTCCAACCAAAAATCCAAAGTCCTTTTCCTGTGTTCGCACAAGACGAATCTTCATCTTGCACAAAATGAAGAAACGATCCAAACTCTCCCCGGAGAGTAAGAGGAGTGCCTCCATTTTCTTCGAGGTACCCCCTCATCACCCCAGCTCCAGGATCACCTTCTGCGGGAGGAGGGGAGGGAGAAGGTTCTCCGATCCCCACTTGCCACAGAGCCAGTCACTTCTACACCCTCCCACCGGCCAGCGCCACCTCGATGGTTCCAAGGTGTCAACACCTAGTTTCTGCTTGTTCTGGGAGTTGTGTCTGTCTGCCGCCTGACCCGCCTTCAGCTTCTCTCGAAGCCCCAAATGTGCCTACCAGGCTCCACGTCCAGAACCAAGACCCTCCCAAACGCTTTTCCACGCACAATGCACTCAGGCCTCAGCTCAGACACTATCAGATTCCTGAAGAAATCTTAACTCCGCAGCCGCCTGTCCTGTTGTCCGTTCTCAGTGGCCACCATGGATGTATTCAGGAACATCAAAGCCATTCCTGACACAGGGCAGCTGGTGTTGATTCCAAGCACACTGCCACCCTATTCTGAGTGCCACAGCGCCCCAGGTCACAGGCCAGGCCTCTCCCCGGGCTCTTCTGTTTATGCCTTTCCCAAAGCTGGGAAGCAAGTAGATCCCCTTATCCCCTCTAACAGAGAAGACAGATGATGGGCGCCTTTTTGGCAAGGATGGCCAAATCCCGGCCACTTCCGCTTTCGTCAATAAAGTTTTATTGGAACACAGAGACACACTGGTGACAGTGACTGTCTGTGGCTACTTCTCAGCGTCAGAGTTGAATAGCTGTGGCACAGACCACAGGCCGCCTGACTGTCGGTCCCCTGTGAAAAACCTTTGACGGAACCAGGACTCAAACCCACTGTGTCCTGACAGCCCCCCGCATTATCTTTGTACACGGGAGATCCCGCAAAGAGGAGCTGAGCTCCAGCTGCAGAGATGATGCATTCAAAGTGGCCCCTGCAGAGCATCAAAGTGTGAGAAGGAGCGAGACTTGCAGCCTCTGACCGAGAACTGTGCTGAGAGACCCCTGATTGCCTTGTGCCCCCATGGTACCCAGCCCTAGCCCACCCTCCAGCCTCCACGGTCCTGGGCATTCCCAGCCTCATGGCGGGGCATCTGAATAGCATGTGGGCCGGCCACGACCGCCCCTTTGGAGGAGCCCCAGGCTTCTGCGGTCTGCAGTGTGGGGACGCAGGTGCGTGCTCTCAGCTCAGCTATGCTGAGTCACGGCTCAGTGTGCAGGGCACGGAGGAACCCGGAGCCCCATCGCCCCCATGGGGAAGACTCGGGTGCAGGCAAGGACGGCGCTGGGTGGGGCTGCCTGCCGACCCTGCACACATCCCACACCTCCCCCTGTTCCCAATCTTCAGTCCAAGGACTTCAGCCGCCCACCCCACCCCTTCTATCTGCATCCTCTGACCTCAGGGGAGGACAGGGCTCCCGCAAGCCTGACAGTTTTACTGAAAGTGATTCACAGGCTGAAGCCAACAAACTCCCAGTGCCCAGGGCGCTGAGCTGGGTTCCCATTTTGCTTTCTTCCAGAGCGCAACACCCTTGGGAGGCCTGGAGCTGGGGGGCCGGGGTGGGGGGCGCCCACCTCCTGCTCCCCCGGTGCCTGCTGGCAGGTTCACCTGAGGCCATCAGGTGCATCAGCATCCTGGAAGCTTGGCACTCGGCGCTAACTCCCTTGGGAAAAATGCATCCTTGACTCACACTGGCGGGGGGAGCCCACTTCCTGTCAGCGGCGCGCTTATTACCTGCCACCGTTACAAATTCTCACTCCTGGGAAACGGGAGAAACAAACAGTGCTGCCAGGGCTGAGCCGCACGTAGGGAGCGCGTGGGGCGGGGGGTGGGGAGACGTGGTAGTGCTCCTCCAGCCCAGGCCGCCCTCCTCCTCCTTCCCCGGGGAGGTGATTCAGTCCTGGTAGGTCACCCCGGAGGTGGCTGCGTAGGCAGTGGGGCAGCTCGGAAGGACTGAGTCTGCGGGGAGGATGTCGAGAAGAAGAGGCACCAGGCAGACCCTGAACCATGGGATCATCTGCTTCCATGGGGGGGGTGTATCAATGCCCACCCATCAATCCCCCATCTGCCCCGCAGTGCTCAGGGCTCAGGGGCCACCAGAAGCTCACCTGGAGGCGCTTGGGGGTTTCCAGGACTGCACCGGGTGATGCTCAAGGGACCGTGCAGTGCCAGAGATAGTACCGGGCAGGCAGCTCTCCGGCCCTCTGATGTTTAACCCAACAGCCCACAGGACTGGGACAAGGCTGGGAGCAGAGCAGAAGCTGCCGGGCACAGGGTCCGGGAGCGGCTCTCGCTGGCCAGCAGCTCTGTCCTTGGAGCAGGGGGGAGGGGCAGGGCCCAGGTCTGGGGGGAAGGAGCGGAAAGCCCCCTTCCCCACTCCCGCGGGTCCAGGGGAGGAAGAAGGGGCTCCCACCTGTTTTGTTTTCTTTTGTTTTCAAGCCACACACTCTGATCTGATGCTCAGAGCTGACTCCTGGCTCTGAGGTCAAGGATCAATCCTGGCTGGCTCGGGGGACCCTATGAGATTCTGGGGATCAAACCTGGTCGGCCACGTGCGAGGCAAGCAAGCACCCTGCCCGCTGCACCCTCTCTCTCTCCGGTGTCTCCCCTCTTTGGGACCTCCCTCCCTGGATCACCCCATCTGTGCTGGAAACAGCGAGGAGAGCAGTGAGTGGGCTCAGAGTGGGGAAAGAAGGGGGAGAGGATGGGAGGGGGCGTTTCTGGAGCAGCCGCTGCCTCTGCGCCTCCAGCTTGGAGGCCGAGAATACCAGCCTGGGCCCAGGGAGAGGGTATGGGGTTATGGTGTCCGCCCTGCGTGGGGCCACTCCGATTCCATCCCTGGCTCCACACAGTATCCCAAGGCCAGCTGGCCAGGGACTGCCAGGAGGGCCCCCTGGGTAGGGCTCAGGGACAGTGCTTGAAGACCCCCAACCCCCCAAAAAAAGAAACAGCCAAAGGGCAGGGAGACAGAATTGTTGGCGCACAGGCAAGGAGCCAAGTTCAACCCCAACCCGACCACAAGTAGCCCTGGAGACCCCCAAGCAGCCTGCCTGCACTGAACCTCCAGTCTAGATGGCGCTGTACTCCCAGGAGTGAGCACTGCTCGGTGGGGCTCTCCCCCCCACCCTGAGAAACCAGCCCCTTCCCAGTCGGCATCCCTGGTGCCCCTCAACTCTCAGAGGGGCCAGGCGAGGAGCAGACCCCCAACCCCAAGCCCAGGCAGGGACTGGGCTGCGGGGGCCACGCCCCGGGCTCACCTGTCGGGGGTGGACAGGTACTTCTGTTTCTGGAACTTCTTCTCCAGGCCCATGAGCTGCAGCTCCGTGAAGATGGTGCGGCTTCGCCGGGGCTTCTTCTGCCGCGGTGCTGGCTGCTCCGTCTCTGACTCGCTGCTGCCCGGGGCCTCGCCGGCACCCGGGGCCTCTGCGCCGGCGGCCTCGGGGGCCACGTGGCGGGGCAGGGCCGGGGCGATCCCAGTGGTGGCGGGTACCAGGTGGGAGATGACCGAGGGCTGCCGGGCCACCACCGAGAGGAGGGGGTACGCTCGGAGGGAAGCAGAGCCTGGAAGACAGGGAGAGGGGCCGGTCAGCAGGGAGTGGGGGAGGGGCCAAGGAAGCCCCCACCACCTCCCAGGCCCGCAGGAGCTGTGAGCCCAGGAAGGGCGAGCGCCCAGGGCTCCGCTGGGTCTGCCCGGCGTGGGCTGGGGATGCCCACAATGATCCCTTCGCACTGCTCCAGCCCAATCTCTGCAGCTCAGGACCACGCATCTGCCCCCGAGAGGCCCAGACCCCTCGAATCACATCATGCTTCCGAGCTGGGAGAGGCCTTAATTCAAGGTCTTCACTTCCAGACACACAGTCCCAGAAAGGCCACATGACTTGACCGAGACTCAGAACTCGGGACAAAGTGACTCGGGAGCCTCTGGGTCCTCCAACCCAGTGCTCAGCACATTTGGAAAATCACCCAGGCCTGTCACGGAGGCGCGCGGGCAGGGAGACGTGGACTCCGGGGAAAGAACCTCCCCACACCAAGTGCCAAGGGTCCGTCCCCTCTTCTTGGGCGGGGTGAGGGCCTGGCCCCGGGAGGGAGCTGGGTTTGAAGAACATTGTCTGCCCTGGGGCTGGGGGGCGGGGGGGGGGGCACAGGGACCAACTATGTGCCACTCCTGCTTCAGGAATTCAAGGCAAGGGTAAGTACGTTTCTGCCCAAGAATCTGTCTGTCATTCATGTTCAAGTAGGAGAGTGCTTCCCTTTCATTATTCAATAGTCCCGGGCTGAAAGGGATGGGGTCATTACCTATGTAAATAATTCTCTCTCCCTGCACCTGCTGGGGCCTATGAGTCAGTGTGGCCCCCTTTCAAAGAATCCTTCAGACTCGAACAGACTCTGCCGCCACAGAAGCACGTCCTGTCCCCTTGGCGGGTGGCAACAGGAGGCGCAGACGTGCCCTTCTGACTCTGGGGGGTGGGGATCTGAGCCCTATGCCTGCAACGCACCCGAGAAGCACAAGGCTGGGGAGGCAGGCTCTGCGTTCTGTCTCTCTCCTCCCTGGGGAGTCCGTCTCCTCATTCACCCCCAGATTTCAGATGCTACTAAAGCCGATGACCCCTTTCGTTCTTGAAAACTTATTAGTCCAACCCGGGAAGCACCAAGGGGCCAAAGCAGAACTCCCCAGGGACGATAACTCCCCTCCCCTCTCCAGCCGCCTCTAACACTCGAGACTTTGTGCTGTGAATTACTATTACTTTCTGTTTGGAGGGGTCACCCATGACAGTGCTCAGGGCTTACTCCTGCCTCTGTGTTCAAGGATCATTCCTAGTGGGCTTGGGGGACTATCTGGGGTGCCCCTGATCAAACCTGATTGGTCCCATGCAGAACAAGTGCCCGACCCACTGCACTATTGTGGATTCTTTTTAAGAAAAAAAAAAACACCAAGAAGGTGAGTTCAGGGCAAGGAAATTGGAGCCTTATTTTCAAAGCCTGTGCCTTTGGAAGCAGCAGAATCATTAGTAAATGCTGACGACTGAGGATGGGACTGTGAGGTTTCGCGTCTCAGGTCCCTTCCCCCCACACACACACACCCTCCCCACACACACATTCCTTTCTGAAAAAGCATTATTCTCTCAGAAGCAGGAACCTTTATAACCTGTGTCCGGGGCCTGGCATTAAGGAAGTCACTCACTCTCCATCTCACAGCGAGAGACTCTGGCTCACGAGCATTTGTGTCCTTTCTCTCTCTTGCAAGTTCTTATTATTTCTTTCCTGGCCCTAACCTTGAAAAACGTGTTGGACCCCACCCCGACAAGCCGCCCACAAATGACTCCTCCGGCTCTTGAATGGCCGTGATCCCAGAGGCACACAAACCAATCTCAGAACCCAGCGACTTCTGGCAGAAATGCTTCTGGACTGTGAATCAAGCTACGGCCCCATGCCTCCCGGGGCGGGGAGGGTGTTGTCCCTTCCGCCTTCTTTTCCTCGGTGGCATGGTGATGACCATCTTTCAGAGCCTATTGGACTGAGAGGTACGAGCCTGCAGTGATGAGACACGCGGGGCCCCACGGGATGGGGGCTGGAACTGGCCCTTCTCCCCGTCCAACGAGACCCTGAATAGCCACCCACGAACTGCTCCTCCACCTCCTGAATGGCCATGATCCCAGAGGCACACAAACCAATCCCGGAATGCAGCGGCTTCTGGCAGAAATCCCTCCGGACTTAATTACTAAAATATCAGAAATCCAATATGCTCTTCATTATCAGCCATTTTTCATTTTTTCATTTCATTTCATCATCCTGTTATTCGTCGATTGCCTCGAGCGGGCCCCAGTAACGTCTCCTTCATCCTAGCCCCGAGATTATATTCAAGGCTCTTTAGGAGAATGAGACCCATCCTTGTTACTGGTATTTGGCATATGTGGTACGCCATGGGGAGTTTGCAGACTCTGCCCTGTGGGCAGGCTACATTCGGTAGCCTGCCAGTTTGTCCAAACATTATCAGCAATAGGAAACTGATTTTCTAATGATGCCTTCTCGGCAGGTCTGAATGTTGAGGGAAAATTCCAAAAATTTTCTGTCAGAAAACGGAATGTAATTAAAGAGAGAGTAAAGTGGAAATCATCTGCCACACTGGCAGGGGGAGGGGTGGGGTGGGGTGGGGTGTACACTGGGGTTCTTGGTGGTGGAAAATGTGCACTGGTGAAGGGATGGGTGTTTGATCACTGTGTGACTGAGACTTCAATTTGAAAGCTTTGTAACTGTTCTCGCAGTGATTCAATAAAAAAAAAAAAGATAAGCATGTCAGAGATGGGGCCTTACTGAGTGCTGACCGAGTCCTGGGTGGGATGGACACGCTTCTGTGGATGGGCAGCGTGAAAAACAGTGGGGAGACTTAGGACACACTCAGTGGCACCTGCCACATCACCCAGCATGCCGCTCACACTCCGACGGCCCACGTGGCAGAGGCTCCGTGCCAGGTTGCTCACTGCAGTGAAAGGGAGGCCGGGACTTCCTGTCTAGCAACAGGAAATGATGCAAATCTGAACGTCCCTCAGGTGGGCATTGCTGAAGAGACACAGTCGGGCACAGCATGGACCCATGAGGCAATGGAGGTTCCCTTCCACCTAGTTTGAGACACACTGCGCTGGGGTATATGCCAGGCTGGGAGGGTTGTGAAGAGGTGCCCCGAAGGGAAGGATCAGTCGTCACCTCTGACACTGCATTCTGAGCCACGGGCGTGAACGGTGTCAGTCTGATGAAATGTTAAAGAGATCTGCAGGGTGCCCCATACTGGGCAGCCCGATATGGGAACTCCTAGAGAGGGGAGCTCCTCAAAGGACGAACAGCAGTGGGTAGGGGTCATTCTTGGGGAGATCCAGGGCCGAAAACACTCCAAGCTATCAATACCCCACTAGCATGTCTTTGGTTCTGAGACTTATAAAGGTGTAAGCTTGATGTTTTATTCTAAATCTGTGCACATCCATGTTCACGACAGTGCTGCGCACAAGAGCCTGGATGAAAGAAAGAGCCCAAATGTCCAATGATAGATGGATGGATTAAGATGCCGTGGGAGATAGACACCGAGGAATACTATGCAGCTGTCACAAAGGACAAAATGTTGGAATACTGTATGACTGAAATCTAATCACGAACAGCGACGTAAGGCTCTATCTCACAACAATTTGATAAAAAAGAAAAAATAAGGAAATAAATAACCTTACAGCCTGAGCTACTTGGATGGAACTGGAGGGTGTCACGTTAAGCAGAATTAACCAGAGGGAGAGGAACAAATCCTGAATGGTCCCAGTCACCTGTGGTCCAGAGAGAAGCCACACAAGAACAGACACTATCACACACTTAAAGCTTTGGCCCGGGATTCCAGGGCTGCGATGACCAGGTGACAGGGAAAGGCAGGGAACGAAGAGGCCGACTGGAAGTAACAGGGGACACTGGGGCGGGGGGGGGGGCTGGGCACTTTGGCAGTAAGCGTGTGCCTCAAAACCTGAAAGTTTTTTAGGTTTACGGGTTTCTGTTTTTGTTTTGTTTTGTTTAGGTTTTACTCTAAGCATGTGACCTAAACTGTCGTTAATTTCTCCCCCTCATCCTCAAGTCTGAATCTCTGTTGATATTTTTGCAATAATGCTCAGGGCTGGAGAGAGAGCTCAGAGGAGAGCAGCACGGGCACTGCGTATGTGAAGCCCCGAGTCTGATTCCCAGAAGCGAATGTTCCCCTCTGCATGGCCCCAATCACTGCCCAGATGGCCACCTCACCTTGCCCAAAAAGAGAAGAATTCTCACTTATTGACCTTGTACATTCTCAGGTTCTCTTGCTCCCTAGACAAGCAGCCAATCAGGGAAGAGAGGTGCCTTCCCAGGCAGCCAGTCAGGGCAGAGAAGTGCCTTCCCTAAGGGGGTCCAGAGCCACAGTACAGCAAGTAAGGCATGTGCCTTGCATGAGGGGACTTGGGTTTGATCTCAGGCATCCCATGTGGTCCCCGGGATACTGCCAGGAGTGAGTCCTGAGTGCAGAGCCAAGAATGACCCCTGAGCATCTCCAGGTGTGACCCAAAAAGAAAAAAAAAGAAAGAAAAGGAAAATGCCTTCCCCAAATAGATGAGAAGCAGAGGACAGGGCTGCCAGGTCTGCAGCTCTAGGGTAAGTGAAGGTAATTTCGGGAGGATTTCTGAAAGACACTGTGGGGAGGGGGTTTCTGGTCATCACCCACCAGGCTTTGCTGATCCAGGACTGCGATCCTGTGTCAATGAGGCCCTGTTCAGTATGAGCCACTGGTCTCAGGTCCAGGCTGTCGCCACCAAATATGGACCCCCCTCCCCCCCCCCCCCCGGGACCGCCACCACGGAGGGAACTGGGAGTAACACAGAAACGCCTGGTTCACTAACTCGTGTCTGTTTCTCTGACTGGCCGCCGGTGTGAGGAGTGAATCCAGGTCCTGATTCCCCACAATGCAGCATCAGGTCACTGTCGTCGCTTCCACGTTCACAGGGCACTGGGCCATCAGCAGCGGCTGCTCGCTGGCTGTGTGGGTTTCTGATTCCCTAGCCCCTTAA